GAGTCAGCTCTGACTCATAGCAACACTATGTGGAATGGAAGCACTGCTTGGTCAGTTTTGCCTTAGAGTCCTTTAATGTTGCAACTTGAGGCTTGAGTTTTTTTTCAGTTCTTTCAGCTTGAGAAATGCTGAGCATGCACTTACCTTTTGATGTTCTAACTTCTTGAGTTGCCCTTTGAAATCTTCTGTTTAGCTCTTTTCATCATTTCTTCCTTTCACTGTAGCTATTCACCATTCAAGAGCAAGTTTCAGAGTTTTGTCTGACATCCATTTTGGTCTTTTCTTTCTTTCTTGTCTTTTTAATGACCTTTTGCTTTCTTCCTGCTTGATGTCCTTGATGTCATCCCACAGTTGGTCTGGTTTTTAGTCATTAGTGTTCAGTGTGTCAAATCTGTTCTTCAGATGATCTCTGAATTTAGGTGGAATATACTCAAGGTCGTATTTAGAGTAGATTACCATTTTCATATGGTGCTGATTTTTTTCAGACTTTAAAATGCATCTAGTATTTTTATGTGAATGAAGAGTATTGTTAATGTTTACTTGTGATTTATTGATTGAAAAATTGGTAGTACACATTGCCACAAAATAAGTAATGATACTCATAAAACATTTTGAATTAACTTCTTTTTAAAAGGAGGACACATTCAGTTTGTACAGTTTGTCAGTAACAAACCTTTTAAAGCTGGGGAGAGAGCAAAAGGAGTGAATGCACTTTAGTTTTATTGTTTTTCTTTTAGGACTTCAACTTAGAGGGAATTTTCCATTCTAATGTTAGTCATAGTAAAAGGAAGAAAATGTTTATGTTAATTACAAAGCTGGCATAAAAAAAATATTTTTTAAAAACATACTTAATTCTATGTAAAAAGTAGCAAAAATCAGAGCTAATGAGAATTTAAGAATTACTGTGGGTATTGACACTAATTCTGTGATGTTGAATGAAGCGTTGGATCCAGAAGAGTCATTCAAACAATCGTGCTATATGTAGTATAACATATTTAAAAGAAAAAAGAAAGAATATTATTAAATTAAAAATCAAAGAAATAGTGGTCTCAACTTAATATTTGCATTTACATGGTCTCTATTTAATTTCTCTATCCCTCCCTCTCCATAGGTATATAAGAATGTGACTCTTCAGGTGCCAGTGGGACTGACTATACATACCTCTTTAGTATGTTCTGTGACTCTGCTCATTACAATACTGTGTTCTACTTTGATCTTTGTAACCGTTTTCAAATATGGTCATTTTTCCCTATAAGTTTTTAAGTTGCTTTCCATAAACCTAAATAAGACCTATTCATTTGTAACTAGGTGTGCTTTTCTAAAATTATGTTATTGTTTTTGTCTTTTGTCTTCATTTATTTAAAAAAATGTATTTAATGAAATTGTGGCTAAAATTTTGTTTACTTGAGGAAACTTTGGATTTTTCTCAGCTGATTCCAAATCTTAGTATTCTGTTGTGTTGATTCTTAGTAATCCTCAAACATCAAGTGCCAATAGAAGAAAGTTAATTTTGTTAAATTAATATTTATTTTGTGAGAAGTGTCTTTATCTTTGTTTTGAACAAATAAGACAAATTATTTTTGTCAGTAGAAATCTTTCAATTTAAGATGAAAATTGAGAAAACCAGTATAAATAAGAATGAAATTAATTTGAGTGAATCAGTTAAAGTTAATTAAATTAAATTTTAATTTTATGGAATACTAAGGCATTTATCCAGAGTTTCAAAGAAAATTTTTAATATATATCCACTGAGAAATTATTAATATTAAAATAACTTTAGATAACTTAAAGCATTTCCATTCTTCCTATACATTGTACAGTGTTGTTTTTTTTTTAATGTATGAATTAGCAAAGAGCTTGATAAAATGAAGATTTAATTAATGTATGTGTCAGGAAAACAACTCAAATTGTCATTTTAAAGAGGATATTAAGTTGTACATTTACAAAAAATGCAATCTAAAAGTGATTAAAAAAAAAACCAAAATATCTTGATTTACTGTTATGCTTGAGAACAAAAGAAAATAAAGGACATGCCATAAGCTAATTAAAAACTAAATCTTTAGGGCAAACATGTTCCAAAATAGAAGACAATAAATCAGATATATTGACATTGTTTTGTGTATAGTAATGGTACATGATGCACATTTATGTGTGCTATCAATGCTTAATTTCCTAAAACATTCTGCTTTTTTTTTTATTTTATAGAAATACATCTTTTATAATTTGGCATGGATGGCCTAAGTAGTCATAACAGTTTGTTTTGAAGGGGTGTTTGAGACTTCAATTTTGAAAAAGGCAATCCAGTGCCATACAGGAGAGATATTAGGGATCTTTAAAATGAGTAATCCCATCTGTTTCATAGACTGAAAGAATTTCTTACATTGAAAGAAGGAAGAATTCCATGTTTCACAAGCATTTCTTTCACTATGGATTTAATAATGTGGTATTGAACTGGGAATTATGTATAAATTAAAACTAAATAACATCAACAGATTACATTTTGAAATATGATTAAACAGATGAGGGCACATAATATTGTTTAGCCTCTTAAGAGTGTGTTTGTAACTTTTTTTCTTTTGTACCTCAGAATCAAATTTTACTGATATTTAGACCAGTTTTCAAGTTAATATTTGGAATTTTGACTTGGAACACAGTTCAGTCATTTACTCATTTATACAGGTATTCAAAAGTGTAGTCAAAGTATGAGTGTGAATGAAGAAAACTTTGATAGGACTCTAATTGCCTGATAAATGGTTACAGAGGTCATTGCTTTTGATAGAAATTTATGGTTTGACCTCTTTATTCATGGTTATATTATCTTCTTTTGATACTTAAAAATGAACAGGCACTTTATTTTTAAAATTGGTTTTGTAATTCTGTGTATAGCTTTTTTGCTTATGATCAGGAGAGTGGGTACTGTTTTCCTGGCCATTATGTTCTAATATTTGTTCTATGTTTATTGCTTTTTTTCTTTATATACAGGCAGTCCCCAAGTTATGAAAGTCCATTGTAGGGATAACTCCTGTTGTTGTTGTTATGTGCTGTGGAGTTGGACCTGACTCATAGCGACCCCTCCTTGGGTTTCCGAGGCAGTATCGCTGCAGAAGTAGATTGCCCAAACTTCCTTCCGAGGAGTGGCTGGTGTGTTTGAACCGCCAGCCTTCTGGTTAGCAATCAAATGCCTTAGGCACCACACTACCAGAGCTCTCCAGGATAATTCCTACTTGCCCTTTAATGTTACGTAATTTGCTCTCACTTTAAAAGGATTGAACCATCCCCTACTCACAACATATGCTTCATCACTACCTTCACTTGCTGCACCTGCAGTATTTACATTACTTCCCACCCATTGCTATTGAGTTGATTCCAACTGATGGGGACCCTTTTGTTGTTATGTGCCGTTGAGTTGGACCAGACCTGACTCGTAGTGACCCCTCCTTGGGTTTCTGAGGCAGTATCACTATGGAAGTAGATTGCCCAACCTTCCTTCTGAGGAGTGGCTGGTGGGTTTTAACCACAAATCTTCTGGTTAGCAGTCAAGTGCCTTAGGCACTGTGCTATCAGAGATCCTAGGGCAGAGTAAAACTGCACCATAGGGTTTCCAAGGATGCAAATCTTTATGGAAGCAGGCTGCCTCATCTTTCTCCTGTGGAGTGGCTAGTGGTTTGAACCACTAACCTTTGGTTAGCAGCTGAATGCTTTAACCACTATGCCACAGTGCTCCTTTACTTACCCTAAAGTAAGATTAAATAAAAACTGTATCCACCTGTTCCAACTCACCTGCAAATTCCACTTAAAGACTTAAAGATATAGTTAGGAATAGATTTTGTTCATAATCCAGACTACCTGTATTGTCTTACACTCTTTTGGATGCAAAGAACAGAGACACAGGTTACTTCAACTACGGGTAGGGTGGGGCAGCAGATTATTTTAAGCATGTGTGTGTCACAAATTCTCTACCAGAAGCTTAGCTAGGTGTATCCTTTTAGCTAAGTATTTAGCTAGGTGTATCCTTTTAGATTTGGTAATTTCTCTTGTTACTCTGAAAATACAGGTAAGCAACACTTAATGTCAACGATACCTTCTGTGAAATAGGACTATTTGTGATTTTGACATTGTACAAATGCTGTATTATCTACCTGTTATGATGTTATATACCACTATTTAACATGAAAGGAGCTCTGGTGGCACAGTGCCTAAGGCATTTGACTGCTAACCAGAAGGTTGACAGTTCAAACCCACCAGCAGCTCCACAGAAGGAAGATGGGGCAATCTACTTCTGCAAAGATTTATGGCCTTGGAAATCCAGTAGGGGTTGCTGTGAGTTGGAGTCAGCTTGATGGTGGTATGTTTTCTATAATATGATGTTCCCACAACATCTAAATCATGTAACATCTGAGGCCACGTGCTTGTGTAGAGCCAAAGGCCAGTTTGGAGTGGCTTTCAGGCCAGCCACCAGAGGCTCTACCCTTCATGTAAGAGAGGGGCCCCTGGTGTATGGTGCTTCCATTGTACAGAGCCCTGGGGACCAGTAGCAGCTCCAAGCAGGCTGACCTGGGCAGTGGCTTTGGCCTAGGCATTGGTTTTGAGGATTGGCAGGGTGGGTGCATTGTGGGAAGCTGCCCTGCTATGAGACCTGCTGCAAGAGCTTCAAGCACAACTCAGTGCTAGTCAAACACCAGTACATCCACATGCCTCCCACATATGCAGCAAGCACTTCTGTGGCTGGTCTGACTTCATCCAGCAATACCATATCCATACCAGCCAGAAGCCATACAAGTGTGGCCAGTGCAGCAAGGCCTTCAGCCACAGCTCACAGTTCACCTAGCACCGGTGCATCCACAATGTCAAGAAGCCATGCAAGTGTGGGGAATGCAGCCAGGTCATCAGCCAGAGCTCCAATCTGCCTTAGCACCAGTGGCTGCCCATGGACAAGAAGCTGTATACCGGCAGTCAGTGTGGCAAGGTTTTCATCTGGAGCGCCATGCTCCATCCACACAGGTGAAAAACCCTGTAAGTGTTATGAGTGCTGCAAGGCCTTCCATAGCCACGTCTACTTCTTCTAGCACCTGTGGACCCACACAGAGAAGAAGACTTTCACCTGTGGCAGGGCCTTTTGCCAGAGCTCACAGCTCATCCAGTACCAGAGGATCTACTAATGGAAGTAGGCAGGGCAGCTAGGCAGGGTCAATGAGGGACACCAGCCTACATTAAAGCTCCAGAGGGAATGGCTCCTATCTGCCTACCCTCCTGCATGGCCATCCTGATATGCATGTCCAGTGTGCCCAATAAATCTTTTCTGGTTGCTTGAGAAAAAGAAATTTAAAAAAAAGGCAATCTTATGGGACCATGGATGTATATGTGATCAGACATTGTCTGAACAGATGTTATGTTGCCCATGCCTATATTTAAAATATTCTATTGTCAGCTGGCACCCAATGTTGTTTTTGAGGAGTGTAAAGTGAATTTGATAGTTGTTTTTTCATAGGGAATGTTTTTTCTTCCTGGTTGCTTTATCTTTAGCATGCTGCAGTTCAACTTTGATGTGTCTAGGATTTATTTTTCTTATCCTACTTGGGATACGTTTTGGTTCCTAAATCTGAAGATTTTTGCTTTAGTGAATTCAGTAAAATTTTTTGCCATTATCTTATTAAATGCTACCTCTTCTGTATTCTCTTTTTCTCTCTCCTTTTAGGCATATGGTAGACCTTCACTATCCTTCAGTCTCTTAATCTCTCTTTCGTATGTTCTCTTCCGTTGAGTTTTGGGCTGCTCTTGGTAAGTTTTTTAGGTGCCTACAGCATTTGACTGCTAACTAGAAGGCTGGTGGTTCAAACTTACTAGCCACTCCTCAGAAGGAAGGTTGGGCAATCTACTTCCGTGGTGATACTGCCTCGGAAACCCAAGGAGGGGTCGCTATGAGTTGAATCGACTCGACGGCAGTGAGTTTTTTTTTGTTTTTGTTTATCTTCCAATTCACCAATTTTTGTTTTTTAAAACTGTGTGTAATCTGCTGTTGTTAATCCATCCATTGACTCTGGTTTCAATGATCGTATTCTTTATTTCTAAAAGTTCTACATGTTTGTTTTTCCAAAGCTTTCTAATCATTTTTTTTAAAAATAGTGTCTTGTTTCTTGCCCATGTTTCTAGCTTCTGTCCCATTTTCTTTAATCATTCAAATAAATTTATTTTATATTCTGTAACAAGTAATTCTAATGCCTAAAGTCCTTGTAGGAGCTCTGGTAGCATAGTGCCTAAGGCACTTGACTGCTAACTGGAAGGCTGGCAGTTCAAACCCACCAGCCACTCCTCGGAAGGAAGATGGGGCAATCTACTTCCATAGAAAGCAGATTGGAA